TTCCACTTGCACTTTATTTTTTTCAACGTATCCTGTAGTAGTCTGTTCAGGCCAGTCACCAAGGTATCACCCTCTTTCTTCGAGCATTCAGAGTGCAGGCAGTCCAGGCTGGTTGGATTGATATTTTGCGGTCGAATTTTGTCGCTGATAGCGGCTAGTAACGATTTTTCATTCAGCTTAACTGCATTCGCCTTTATAGTGCCCAGTTCATCGCTCCGAAAAAATTGCGTTCACCGACGCTCAACAACTACAGGTCGGTTACCATAGTCTTTTAAGAGAGCTCGAAACAGTTTTCTCAGTTTTTTTTTAGGCCAAAATCAAGGAATCTACTTGAGCCACTGTAGTGACCAGTTCCTCCCGTGGTTTTGGTGGGGTCAATAGGTCGAAACCTGGTTTGGTTTGGCAACACCGGATTGCCCGAGTGGGAATTCCCAAGAGCTGAAATCATTAGTATTTTTAACTCTCTTCTTTTCCTCTTTCAGTTTCCACTTATCGGTTCCTCTATCATTATGGATGCTGTGGTTTGACAGAATACATGACAGAATACATTACACTGATTCAATTCTATTTCTCTTCAAAGGTGTTTTTCAAACCAAGATTTCCTCAATTTGCAGAATATATTTGAGGTAACGCAGTGTAGATTATTATCAAAACCTGCTAATCATATATTTTCCAATACTACGGTAGCTCGCAACTGGTTTTGGCCTTCTCGATTCCAATTCGGTGAGCATAGATCTCCAGGCTGTCACTGGTTCTACGTTCTGCTTGAATGCAACTGGTTTTGGCCTTCTCGATTCCAATCCGGTGAGCATAGATCTCCAGGCTATCACTGGGTCTATGTTCTGCTTGAATAATAAATTGGTTGGAGTTAGCCTGATGCACCTATTTACATTTGATATTTATGTACAGGAGATAATTTAATGCAATTCAAGCGCATGTTGTCGTGGTACTGACAAGTCCAAAAAACTGTGAGAATCTTTACATTTACGACGCAAGAAGCTGAGCATCTTGCATCCTTCAACGAAGTGATCATACGATAGCCCAACACCCAGTTCACTGTGACACTATAAGGTTCGACTTCTTCATCGATCTTGCATCCACTGCATTTGATGCAAATCCCGTTCTACTGAGTCGATTTATAAGCACTAGAAAGTTCTGCTAAAAAGGGAACCTTTCCGAAAAGGGCTATGATGACATATAGTCAATCCGAAGGTTTCATCTTTACTCCAAAAGTACTAAAACAGCGTCGGATTTATGTTGCATCAAAATCACCAGCACCATTGTGCTTGACGCCTTTTTCGCAGCAAACCATCTACCACACGTGTTGTTTATCTGTCCATTTGTAATTATAATGAAAGTTGTTTTGATGGAACTGATCGATATGTTTTTTTACGGAGGTTTCATTCTCTCTTTGCTGAAAAATCGAAAATTAGCATACAACTGTTTCAACTTTACCAAGCTTAATCAGTAGTATGTAAATCAGAAAATTCCCCGAAGTCTCGAACCTACGACCTCCCGACTGAACCTTTCGCCCACGAACAGTTGGTCAGTCATATGATCAGTTTGTGTTTAGGCAGGATGTGGTGCGTTCATTGTTAGATCACGAAATCCAAATTACTTGTTCGCGCTTTTTGACTCACTCCGCAAGTGTCGGCTTTTCGGCTGTGAGCTTCCCTCACATCACCAGGGATCCGCCTGTCTTACATAGGTATGCAAAACGCCTCCCAGCCAATCACGCCACATTGATTCACATGCGTTACGGGATTATCGACCGAATGTGAAAGTAACCCATCACATTTGACCCATTCCACTCGTTTTCAGCATCGTAACTCATCTGCTCTTAGTCAGACTCAGCTTTTGCATGAAGGCGTGCCGATATCATCAACAGTTTATCTTGGTGCATGATCCACGTTCTAAACCGATATGATCACTTGATATTAGGAGCATTTGACTATTTTATCTGTACCAGCGCAATGGTAAGGGTGTTTCGAATCGTTCTATTTCTTGTCAGCTGTTATTACATTTTCCCGTATACGATATTGTTGACCAGGAAGTGTAAATATGAACTCTGGTTTTGGTGTAGCTGGAAACTACATGGACTAATTGGTGTGTATTGACATTTTTTCTGAATTTCTAACACCCTTAAAGATTCTCTGTCATCAGCGTTGTCCCAGGTCTATTACGCTAAGTGAACACATAGTAATACTTACAAACGTGCATGAATAGCAGGCTCAGATTATCTGTTCTCGTTGAACAAATTATATGATAACTGGTCTTATTGTTATTTTATACACCTTGAGCACTGGAACTACGTGGATGAACTTGAAATGGGTTCTCGCAGATACGTGAAGCGCAGGCTCGGCGCATATGCTTTGGGAAAAAACAAACTAAATCGCTTTCGGGATGATAAGCAACTAAAGAACCAGTGATCGATGAAGAAACAGACCTTAATCATCCTGTCACAAGTGTACACGTTGGTCATCGGCTCACTTCGGCAGGAGTTTTTCACTCTGAATGGCAGATCGGGTATTGCAAGTTTGATGTTCAGTGATTTTGCTAGTTGTGCTCTTGGTACACGGCATCCACTTGGTATCTATCTGAAATTCAAAAATGAATTCCCGCCAGTTTTCCAGCTTCTTCAATGACAATAAAACAACCAACATCCCCGTGCATCTTTCGGGGAGATTACCTGAAAATCATGACACGACAATACTTATCCCAGTTCAGCCATTCCTAGTCAGCTATTGGCAATAGTTTACACCATTGTTACTGGCAAATTAATTCACGGTTCTTGGTGCGACTGCGTAGCCCTTAGTTAAGGAATTCACGGAGAAATGCTGCTTAAATCGGGACAGCTGGACTGTACGCCAGCGTGACTGGCAAAATATTTGTTTATTTGTAATTGGTCATCCTTGAATTTTTTTCCTTTTCCTCCTATGACCGAACTGATTGTTTCAGAAAATGGATAGTAATTTCCTGTCGCATTTATCGTTTACCAATTAGAACCAGCAACATAATCCTGTGCATTGTCAGGTGTCACATATTTGTGCCTTATGGGACTTTCAAAAACCTCGAAACTTTGTTTGTGCCACCCAAGTTGCCGCAGGCCGCCAAATGTGGTTCTCAAATTTGTGTTCACAGTAAACACGTTTACTCGTTTTATTAATAATGATAATATCTCAACCAAGACACACAAACGCATGAGATGAGCTGCAATGTTGGAAGCAACACACCTGAAAGATGCACTATCAGGAGAATGCACGCTTCAGGAATACAGAGAATAATCTTAGCGGTAAATTTTTCCCATGAGTCCCAGGTTTATTTAGGTGGTCGTTCCGAGTTTTCTTCGCATGAAAAGAGTGCGTGAACAGACAAGCGTTGATATGATCTCTTTCAAAAAGATCTAATCTGGATGGATAGGTTTAGTAGATTAATTTTTGTGAAACAGATCATGAGTCATTTCCAATAGAGACTTTAAAACTCTCACGGCATTTGAAAAAAACCGCGTATTACTGCCTTACTGTTAAGCAGGTGATTGATTTTTCCGCGAACTGAGTGGTTAGCGGAAGCAAATGTTGGTACAGTCCTGTGGAAGTCAAAACTAGAACGTTCTTTACGTTTTACGAAAAGAAGGCACTTCTCTCTCTTGCCATTTTTCAGAATAGAGGAAAGCCAGCGGAATATGACGCACGGCGAATAATCATCTGGCGGTAACCATTATAGAGAATACCAGACTGGTATTCCATATATCGGTTTGATTGCTCCTCATTCGTCAGCTGAAAGTCCCAGCCCCTATGAACGAGAAGAGAACAGCCAAAATATCTCTTTCCTAATCACATGCCTTTACTTAAAAACTGTCCATCCCAACAGGCAAGCAACTCAAGCACGTAGTTTGGCAAACTGTTGACTTGGAGCTGGCTAGCTGAAACGCCCAAAATCTGATATGAAGTGCCCGCTCCCAACGTTTCTTGGACATTGAGATGTTTCCAATTTATGTCCCAGAAAATCCTTCTATGTATTTTCTGATGCAATGGCCTTTTTTCTACACTCACACGTACTGTCAGTCAGCACAATGGGAGATTAAAATGACAAAAGTAATTTGTTGATGTCTGATCAACGGCGTCTTATATTGAGCGCGGGGTCTCTTACCGGAAAGCGCTTCAAAACATCTAGCTCACGAAGGACGTCAGCCCAGGAAACGTGAATAAATCCGGCAGATTGCATGTATGCTAAGATAATGCATACATATCAACCGAGACAAAGAATGAAGAAGGTTGGAATTTTTAAGCCAGGTTATGTTACACTACCTGCGATGTACGTAACTTCCAGTCAACCGATACACAGCTGCTGCAACGCTTCAAAATTAGCTTCCCCAGATTCATCATCATCATCATCATCATCGTTGACGGCAGAAAATCCGCTGTGAACACATGATTTGCTGCCGTGCTAATCACCACAAAATTCTAAACACCAGTAATGCGACATCAGCCAAAACTGTCGATCCTATATCGATGCAAAAAGTACATCATCTGGGCGGTCATTTCAGCAATGACGTACACGATGGCAAGTTAAAAGTGACCACAATATTCCTGCAAGCAGGTTGTCATAAAAGTGCCGCTACCTACCTGCTACAACAATTAAGTTGGGATAAATGATACATCGAAAATTACGGGAAACCTGATTCGCTGAAGTTAGCGATTACTTAACCACAATTACACAACCTTGTAATCTATGAAAACGCTCCATTACAACCGTAGAACAATTTTGTATTGAGAAAAAATATCACAAAAAACAGAAGACGATCGGTCAGGGAAGAATCAAGTAATATGAATTTTGTGTGCGTTCTGTATGAAAGCATGAAATGATTCACTAAAATGTTGAAAGGTGCGCATAGTCTTTTTTTAATATTGGTGGGTTTCATACACTTGTGTAGAATAAATGTTTAATCAGAAGGAAACGGTTTGAGAAGCGTTTCAAGAGTTTTTATCAACTGCAGTTGTTTAGTCATCCGAATCGGTATCTGATTTATTCGAGCATTTCCCGTGTTCTCGTCGTTCCGATTCGTTTTGTTCATCGTCGGTGTCGTCATCGTCTTTGGGTTTCTTATCCTCTTTTTCCTCCCGGTCACACGTACGTTTTCCACGGGTATTTTGCTTTTGGCACCTTCTCCTTTTCTTTTTCTTCTCAGCATCTTTATCGTCACCACCGTCGTGTTGATCAGATTTCAATTTATCATCTTCTTCACTTTCCTCGTCACTTTTGCTCTTCGGTTTGCTCTCTTTATCGTTGTCTTCGTCATCTGTTTCATCGTCTGTGTCGTCCTTCTTTTTATTTTCCTTTTCTTTCTTTTTCTTATCATCGTCACTCCTGTCATCGTCGTCATCGTCATCATCATCTCGCCTGGTGCTAGTTGTGTACATAATGGCTTAGTTATCTCCTGTCATCGTCGTCATCGTCATCATCATCTCGCCTGGTGCTAGTTGTGTACATAATGGGGAGCTTAGTTACCGATGGTCTGGGTGACTTAGTAGGTGTCAGCTTTGTCGTAGAAGAAACATCTGTAGCCGCAGGAGGCAGAGAAGTCGTAGTGTGGTCAGTAATTTTACTTGTGGTTGAATTATTGACTTCTGTGCTTAGCAAAGCTGAAGCAGACAAGGTTTCTGATGTTGTACATGAGGCGGGGACACTCGTCACTGAGTTTTCACTCTCAGTCGAAATCGAGTCAGACGTAGCGATGGTTACAGATGCGTCGAACGATGTAGTGGGTTTAGAGCTTCCATTCTCCACAAAGGAATCCAACGGCGTAGAGCTAAACTCAGCGGCTACATTAGTGGCTGCTTCAGGCGAGGAATCTGTGGTCTGAAAGATGGTACTTAGCTTAGGAGAAGATGTATGAATTGACATTGTTGTTCCTGAACTTTCCGAAAACTCAACAGCTGTTGATGGAAGAGCTGTTTCTGTGGTTTTTATAACTGTAGTTAATTCCAAATCAGTTGTAGTTTGCATGGGAAATTCGGTGACCTTTTCTGTCGTGATACCCGATATTGGGGTTTTATCAGTTCCTGATGTATCACCACTTGTTCCCATTGAGACAGGTGTTTGAAGTGTACTCTGAGGTACTTCGGTCATCACATGCGTAGAAGCTTCCACAGCAACTGCATCAGAGGGTTTTATGGTGGCTGTTGATTTGTCCAGTCCCACGTGATTAGTAATTGCATCCGCCACGTTTGTAGTCGAACTCGGCTCAGAATCTGGAATGCCTTGAGAGGTACCCATCGTCTCGAGGTTATCAGTTGTGAAACCACTGCCTATGGATGTTTGCAATGTGTACTGATCTCCGGATGACGATGCAAGCATTCCAGAAGAAGTTAGTTCAGAAGGTTCCACGGTAGTTCCTAGCGTATCTGCTGCCGTCGGAGAAGCGTTAGTAATCGACACTGATGTTGCACTTGGATCAGCAGTCGAACTTCTCTGATCGGTACTCAGAATATCGAGATCGCTAGCTGTTGTACTGTTAGTAAAGAATGACTGGATTGTACTTTCCTCCATCTTTGTCGTAACGTCCTCAGGGATTGAAGTTGCGGTTGGCACGGGAGATACCAGTAGAGTTGTGAGGGTATGTGTTTCCGCAGGTGAAGCATCCACACTACCGCTTGTAGGTGATTTGGCTGTACCTTCATATAACTGTGTTGTCATGATCTCAGACATTCCGGGCGAGACTAACATGGAAGGTTTCACGGTGGCTGTGGGTTCATATGTTCCAGCGCTCGAGTTCGCCACTGGTACTGTTGAACTCTGTTCAGTATATGCAGTAAATTCGATGGTACTCAGTGACCCTGTGGCACTATCTGTCGATACCGTGGTTGAGTGCTCTGACTGGGAATTGGTCAAATTTTCAGTAGTTAGCTTCGCTGTGCTCAAGGTTGCTGGTGTGGTTGTTGCACCGTTCACAAGTGATGTAGTGACTTCGTCTGGCGTTGAAACCATTGAACTGGTAGAGTGTGCTTCCGTGAGGGGAACCGAGATTGTTGACGAATGGATTGCTGCCGCTGCTGATTCGGTTCTTTCGTCTAAAACTGCGGTTGCGTTGAACGCCCTTGTTGTAAGTGGTGAAATTGTAGTAGCATCCGACATACCGCCGTCACTTGATATACCAGTTAGCATAGTTGCGTTCTCTGAACTGATGCGGTTTTCCGTCGACGTAGAAGTTGTCAAAGGTTGTGTAGTCGAGTTGATAGCATCACTTCCCACTGTAGGTTGTGTAACAAACGCGTCCTCTGTCGCAAATTGAGTGGTGTTTATGGTGTCCACTTTCCCGAGTGTGGAATCGGATGTCATGGAGTCAGTTGTCCATGACTCGTTCGAATGTGGAAGTGTAGAAGAGTTGAAGTTTGTGACTTCTGTGGCCATCTCTGAAGTGAGGCTTTTCACTGTATCAGAATATGTGACGTTGAGATCCGTGTCGGTGACGTCGTTTGAAGTAGTCAAAGTGACAAACATACCCTCCGTCGCTATTTCAGTGCCGTTGGCTGTGGTAATTGGTTCCAAAGTAGACGTTTCCAGAAAATCTGGAGGGGCTGGTTTGTTGTTCTCTACCGTAACATTCTTCTCCGATCCTGTTGATTGCGGAAAGTCAGATGAACTTGGGTTGAAAATATCACTTAAGATGGTAGTGTGTGGTAATGTGGTATTTATAGGAGACGTATAGGCTTCTGTTGTTGTACCATTGAGAATATCGAAAGCAGGGAATGACTGATTCGTTGACTGCGCCTCTGTCTCAGTTTCAGCTGCGTATGAGTTGGTGACTGAATTTGATGTACTGTTGTCATAGCCAACTGTCGTTGTTTCCGATGAGGTGTACGCCGAACGTTCTGTAGGTGTTAACGTGCTCTCGTTGGAAAAACTATTTTCAGCGGAACCATCGGACGATACATCCTGTCTCACTGGGGTAGCCAGAATGACCTTGGGGAGTGTGGTGCTTGTCACCGTCAGTGTCTGCTCAATTTCGCCAGATGCGTTGGTTGCGTTAGTTTGTTCATCATATAACTGAGCTGGTGACAGTTCTGGATGTGGCTTCAGCTCGGTTGTTACATTTTGCTCTATGGTTATATTGTCGCTCAAACTGGTTAGTTGGATGTTTCCGGCAGGCACTGTCGGTAAGGATGTTGGTGGATCCACATCGGTTGCTGCATCGTCTGCCTTTAGCAAATCAGATTCACTTGTCACTTGTTCTGTCTGTTCTGTTATATCAGGAGCATCGGTTCGCTGTGGAAGTCCTTCTGCAACAACAAAAACAACACAAATGGAATCAGGGTTACCGACTGCCAAGGACGGTAGCTGGTTTTGCTAACTATATTATTATTTATTGTTGTGATCACCATCATAGTTAGTGTCAAAAGAACTGGCATATAAAGCTCAATTGACCGGATTTTGAAGATCCATAATTTTTAGATTTGAACTATCACAACCACGTCCGAACACTGGGCTTCGGGGATTTAGTTTATTTTGAGGCAAAAAAGAATTACTTTGATAATTTACTCTGTTTCAGTTGTCGTTTGCATATGTTTTACCTCTGATTAGGACATATTTGTATGCTTTAAGGAAACCTAATGGATTTGTTTTCATGTTGTATAAGTGGGAAAACTTCACGCGCCTGCAGGCAAGCGCTTCTTTACCTTGGACTCTTTAGAATTCGACAAATGTTGGAATAAACAACGAAGACCTTCAGCATCCATCATTATCTCGAAAGCGTTTTTTCGATATGTTGCATTTTATGGATATGCTTTTGCGCGACGTTTCATACTCACATTCTCATTTTGACGAAATTACCCTGACAAAGCAGAACACACATTTATGGTTCTAAGTGCTGGAAAAATCAAACAAACAGAAGTACAGGCTAATTTCTTCACGTGAAATCGCAACTACAGATTAGATACTGTTTAATTTATTGATCGTACACCATTTTTGCCGCAGAAGGCAAAAACCATCAGCAATCAGGCCTTATATTAGCTAGTAAATTGCAACTCTACAACCTGGACGTAAGCATGCGAAAACAGACTGTTTTCAGACTGCTTTGCTGAGCACAGCTTTCTACTCAAGAACCAGTCGAGAACCAGTTGAAGTGTACTATTCAGAACAGTGTGATTGTTAAAGATTAGCTTTCTCACCTAGTACCTTCTTCTATAATGACCAACCATTAGCAATATTCCAGTCTGCTCTCATCTCCAATGGCTTGGCGTCTAGTCTACTGTCTGGGAAACGGTGGCGCGAACAATCCGTTTCATCTCACAAGGCGTATGGACTACAAACAGCCTATACCGTTTTGCATATTCCGTTTTGTTTCAGTTTACTGGGGCAGTCAATACTCAAGTTGATAATGTGGAACTCAGTTGCTAGAGAATTATGCGGAGATTAAACTGGTTGCAAGTCTACGGTGTTATATACCGTAGTATTGAAGTGCCCAGGACAATGTATTTGAGACTCTAAACCAACGAAAACAGGTGAGACGAGGGAAACTAAAATCTCCATAATGACTCGCTAGGTTACCAGAGTGAAAATGCATTTAGTCTTTTGCATACATCATAAATGATATGCAAAGAAGTTCCAAAATAACAGACCGAAGCAACCAACACCCTGCAAAATAAATAGTTACCCAGATTTACCCCCGCGTGCATCGAGAGGGCAAATTAATCATGCACAAGTCTGGCTGAAATTCTGGCAGTCGAAACTGCGGGAATAAATCAACAAGCAAAGGTTTGAAAAAAAACGAATGAACCGGAGGGTGTGGTGTAGATACAGGACACCACATTGTCACCAGAATGTATGTTATACAGCCGCAATTGTTTCACCTTAATCATGCGAACCAGGCACTCCTTGCCTTCAGATAATCTCACACTTTGGTTCGTTTCATTTGTTTTTTCACTGCAATCGGTGTATCACGTCAAAACGGTGTTGTTGTTGCAACTCGACAGATGCGGGCTTACCCGGCCGCGACGTGAAAATTTTGTTTCGTCGCAAGCAGCCTCCTTGAAGATGTTGAAAATTTTGCGAAGTCCATTTAATACATGATCACTTTGTGAAACCTTTTGGTCTGTTTGGGTTCATTATCATGTAGAAAACGGCGTGTGTTCGACGAATATGACTGACCAATGTCTTTCAGAATATATCGCACAGAAATCACGTCATGATCACACGAATAGTGGTCGCTTAGGTGGAATGACTTCATCCCTCCACCAGATGAAGCATGTTCTTAGGTCACATCTCAAATTAGGTCGAAAGTTAAAGACTACGGTTTTGTTAACTTATTGAAGGACTGAGGTGTTCAGTTTTTTCTTGAAAACTTGTCGGCATTTCAGTGGCTTTTCATAGCGTCATCGAAAATACCATCTTGGTTTGTAATTGCTTGTGAACAATTCGTATATACCCCAACGGTTCCGCTGTACAACACTTTTAGGGCGGAAGTACTGGTTTGAAACAACAATGTAGTGAGAGGAAGTTGAAAATTCCTAAACAGAACAGACTATAGTTAAAACACATCTCGGTAGTTTGTATCACGTACAAGGTGTTTGGTGATTAATGATCTTGAATTCTAAGACACCCAAGACACCACAATATCCACGGTGTCTAACCCGCAAATTGGACTCTCCCTGACAAAGAAACTACGGGAACGGCACTTCCATTTACCAGCACTCTATGCATATAATAACTGCAACAACGTAAATGCCATTTGAGTGAAAGGCAAATAACCTATAAGTGTTAATTGACGCTGTTTGACTGCAGATTCTCAAGAATTCGAAGTTTTCTACGGTACGGT